GATGAGGCGGCGGTGGTGGGGGGTTTTCAGGAAGGATAATTGGCGGTCGGAGACGTCGGAGTTGTTTTTCGGCCGGCAGGAACTGAATGTAGATTGAAAGATTTTAGAGACCTTTGATTTGAAGCGATTCTCCATTTTTAGAGAGTTTGTGAAGATGAAGAATAGTGGAATTAAATAGTTTAAATACGTAGAATGTCTTTATTTTTTATATTAAAACGTTTACAAATTAAAAAGTATATATACTAAGAAAAAAAGGTTGATTTTACTATTTATTAATTTCTTATTAAAACGTTTGTTGAGTTTCCTTTTTTGCTGTTCCCTTCTGAACATTTTGTCCATAATTCAACAAACATGAAGCGTACCTTTAACCAGTTGTACGTAGTAGATCAACAATTGTACATCCAGGTAGAAAGTAATCGACCTACACATTATTTACTTTATTTATGTTAAAAAATCCATTTGTGTTTGACGTGGGTATTTTTTTTTGTTTTGGATAATTCTTCAACATTTCATTTCTCATTGCTTTTGAATATTTAATGAGACATATGGTAATTATTAATAAAATAAGGTTATAAACTCCCACATATAAGGTTGTTCGATATACAACGTCCTGAGTTGTTGCTGACTAAGCCACATGAACAACATCCGAGTATGGTGTGGTAATGTGTATTAATGCGAGTGTATAAAAAAGTTAGCAATCTCAAACTTGTTCAATAGTTTTAATTGTGATATTAGCTAGGTTAACTGTTCTTTTTAATGTGTTGCAGTAACATTTAATGTATAAGACTGTAAGTGGTAAGTGGGATAAAGCTGATGGGCTGAATTGATGTTGTCATGTTGGGCTGGAGACAGGCATCTGTTTTGGAAAAATGCAGAAGATAAAGGACTAAAAGTGTCAAATCTTGATAATCAAGGGGTTGTAGCTTGTAGTAAGACATGGATCTGCTTGACCCGAAGTTTGGTACTAGATTGGTTCGGGTTCGTTCGGTTTGCGATCCATATGCTCACCTATGCTTACTCTAGAAAAGAGTTTGTTGATTTAAAATATTTAACTACTAGTTTATAACCCGTGAAACTACGGTTACAAAATTAAGTAAACTTTAATAGTTATAACACAAAATTATTAATCAATTATAATCGTTAATTTAAATAAATATGTGAAATTATATCACCTTATAATTTATATTAAATTTATTTTAATTTTTATTCCATTGCTATTAGTTTATTGTAATTAAAATGAAAATTTTAAAATTTAAAATAAATAATTAATAGGTTGACAAGTAGCATGCATTAATTAAGAAGTTTAATAGGGTGACACATGGCAAAAAAAGAATAAAATATGTATTAATTAAGATGCCTAATATGATGACACATGTCAAAAGGAGATTAAAACTATTCTTTTATTAGAATAGAGATGTCGTGTACCAAAAATCCACATGTACTCATCTTATTTTTCCTTTGCTACTCAAGCTTCCAAATCAGCACAATGTATAGGTTTAAGATCGAAAACTTATCTCAAGCCAATCATGGCCATCTTACTTCAAGAATTATACATCTTTCTCAATGTTTAGGTTTAGAATTGAAAACCTGTACAAATCATTGTTGATTCAAAACATTTATAATATATAGAATAATATAATTAAGAAAAAAATCATGGATAAAATTAACATTTTAGTTATGGTCAACGGAGGAGAGTGACAAACCATGAAAATAAACCAATCATGATCCCTCATTAATTCACTCGGCTCTATTCAACCCTACTGATTCTTATCTAATTCTACCACGAAAAAATTTATCATTTGGTTGAAAGATTTATTCTTGATGCACCGGAAAGAAGTTATAGTCTTATAGACCATGATATAATGTATTTTAGAGGGTGTTTGGGATTACTTTAAAAACGATTTTTGAACTTTTCATTTTTCCACAAAGTCAAAAAAGTTCAAAAAATATTTAGCAAGTTGAAAAGTTATTTTTAAAACAATTTTTATGTAAGGGGAAATTTTTGATTCCAAAAATCACAAAATCGTGACTTTTGTGCCTCTTAAAAGTAGCTTGTCTTTTTTTTTTTATCTGTCTAAGCACATTTTAAATCATTACTTTTGGAAAAAGATATTTTACAAAAAGTTCTTTTATAAAAAGGACTTTAAAAATAAAAAAAAAAATTATCCGAAACACCCCTTTAGAGTCTACCAGAAATCAGATAGATAAAGAGACACAATGACTTAAATCAAACTAAAATCCATTAATTTCGTCAAAAAGGAATTTCATATATTTTAGTTTGTTATTAATCGGTCTTCTATTATTATTATTATTATTATTATTATTATTATTATTATTAAAAATGTTATTTTCAAACGTCCTAATTTGAAGTTTGAGTTGTTGATTTGGTCTTAGCCTCTAACTGTCATTACAGGCCTTTTTTTTTTTTTTCCGTTAGAGGCATTTTATTTTCTTCCCTACGTACCATGTATAAGTGGTATATATCCGTCTTTTCACAAATAATAAATGGGATAATGACTTAGGAGGGTAATAAGGTTTTCAGTTTGTCCGTATTAGATCATTAAGGTTTTTTTTGTGTGTATTAGACAAATATGGTTTTTATTACCGTTTAGAAATAGTCCTTTTACCGGTTTTAACCGGTAAAAATGATTATTTCTAAACGGTAATAACAACCATATTGGTCTAATACGTATAAAAAAAACCTTAATGGCCTAATACGGACAAACTTAAAACCTTATTACCCTCCCAAGTCATTAACCCTAATTTTAAAGACATTGAGAATATATGATCATCAACAGTAAACTATTTCGTTTAGAACTCACGTCGTCCCATATAACATGTTATTCCTCTATATGGCGAAACTCTTCATCTATAGTCGTCCCTTTGGGGACATCCGATAAAATTGGAACGATACAAAGAAGATTAGCATGGCCCATGCGCAAGGATAACACACACAAATCGAGAAATGGTCCAAAAAAAATTTAACCCTTCATCGTCTTCTCTGGAACCCTAATTCCCTTTTCAAATGCTAATAGAGTTCAATTGCAATTCTTACGTTTCAGTAGTTCATCTACTAAAGTCATGATCAGACAACATGTGGATTCTATGGTCAGATTGATTTTCTTGTTGATGTTTTCAACCATTTGTGGCAAGTAAGGGTGATCTTTCTTTCTATAAAGTCTCCTTTAAGTTTTTTACTTTTCCTATCATTAAGTTTCATGATTTATAAACTTCCATTTATGTGTTGTATATAGTATGTATGTGTTTGTTTTTGTGCAGATTTTTTTATTCATTTTGCAACTTCAGTTTCTTAGTTCATGTTGTGGTTTTTCTTTTTATAAAATAATTGATTATAGACATCCTCTGCAAGTCCCTGGTGGTTTTACATTTTCATTCATTATCAAATGTAGACATTGATGGGAGGTATCAAAGTGAGATTGTTTTGTACATATGGATGTGTTCATGTAAACATTTAAATGATAAAAAAGAAGTTATTGATAAAATGTTGCATATTTATATAATGAAGATCATCAATCATATAAGTTTTTGGACTTAGAAGTTCTGGAATGGTTGTGAGATAAGTTTAAATGGAAGCAACTATTTTCAGTCAAACAAATCAGTCACATTGATTAGTAAACATGTTTTCTAAATAATTAGGGTTAATGACTTAGGAGGGTAATAGGTTTCCAGTTTGTCCGTATTAGGTCACTAAGGTTTTTTTTTTTTTTTTTTTTTTGTTTGTGTATTAGACCAATATGGTTGTTATTACCGTTTAGAAATAGTTCTTTTACCGGTTTTAAAAGAACTATTTCTAAACGGTAATAACAACCATATTAGTCTAATATACACAAAAAAAACCTTAGTAATCTAATATGGAGAAACTGAAAACCTTATTACGTTCCTAAATGATTATCCCAATAATAAATAGTAGTATAAGTTATGGGAGGTGGTGCAGGTATAGACAAACTGTAAAGCGCCTTCGCAATTGTAGAGCATGCTGGCTCTGCATGCTTTCCAAATATGGACACAGCCACTTAACCTCCTCTGACATTTACTCTTTTAAACTACCCTACAAAACCAACATTTAAATATTATATAATATTTCTTTATTGTATTTCCCTTTATGATTTATTGTTTTATCATATAATATGATTAAAAAAATATGTCTCATTTATTTATTGTTTGGTTGCGGGAATGAAAAAAAGGACAAAGGACGCCTGAGAGATTCGAACTCTCGCGGGGAAACCCCATGTACTTAGCAGGCACACGCCTTAACCACTCGGCCAAAGCGTCGTTTTTGTATATAACCTTTAGACCATCATTATTATTAGATAATAGTTTATTACTAAGCATTATATTGTTTAATCCAACCCACAACGCCCATTTAAATTCGATAATTTGACGAATTTTCATGGTAAAAAGTTGAATCGAGAGCTTTGAGTATTTATCAAAACTGTTTTTCATTACACAAGTTTAACTAAAAACAAAATCGCAAATGTATCTATACAAACAATGTTCAATAAATCTTTCGCTCAAATATATCAAAACTGAAGACGTATTCGATAAAACTACTCAAAGTAGGTATGTTTTATATTTGTATATGAATCTTTCATAAAAATAGCTAGAAGTTTTAAAACATGTAAAATTACAAATAACTTTTCTAAATTACACTATCGATTTTTTAAAAAGTTAATTAAGTTGATTAGAAAATTGTAAATAAATATTTTGTTAAATGCTATTGTGCTGAACATGCCCTAGAACTTTAAAAAAATCACTTTTTATTATATCTTACATTTAACTCAAAACCAACAACTTTCAGAGAAGTGTTTAAAACACGAGTCAAAACACATTAAACTTAACAAGAGCAATTTCTTAATTAAAACAATTGCAACAATATGATTGCATCCACCATTACCAATTTCTCAATCCAATATAAATTTTACATAAACAAAAAAAATTAAAACCAAACTCTTACCCCAATCCAAAATTCCATCCCCTTCTCAACTCAATCTCCTACCCCTTTCTACATATAATATAAAACCATAACCAATTATACAACCATAAAGATCAGAAAATTACCAAAATACCCCCAGCAACACAACACCTTTAATTCATCGCGAAAACAACCTAAGCCCACCTTGTAAATCCTCTAAAGTGATAGTCAACAACTCGTCTGTATCCATACAGTCAAAACTAAGCCTCAAATCAAGATTCTCACGAGCATTAACCAACAAAGGATCCACCAAACCTCCATTCATCTCCTTTCTTTGTTTCTCACTTGTTTCAGTCTCTATTAGATTTGCTAATGTTTTAACTGTACATGAAGGATGCAATTTGAATCCATATAATATGCTTCCTTCCGTTTGATTGTTGTTATTCATTTTTAGATGAACAATATTGGCTAAATCTTGGGTTGTAAAGTCATCAAAAGTGAAGAATTTTGTTACACGTCTACAAAAACCTTCGTTTGAAGAAATCACACGTTTCATTGGCTCACTGTATCCTGCAAAGATGACTACGACTTTGCCAGTGTCCATAACTGACATGATTTCTTCAAGGGCTTCTAATCCGTAGTCTTTATCGTCTGATTTTTGCATGGGGATTAATCGGTATGCTTCATCCACAAACAAGATCCCGCCTTCTGCTTCCTTTATCTGCATTTTTTCATTTTTTGTTTGGTTTAAAAAGCAGTTGTTTTGAATAAGTGGTTCAAGGGTAATTTGGTCTTTTCACACAAGGGATAGTTTTGTCTTTTGCACACAAGGTTAATTTGGTCTTCCAACACAAGGGTTTTTGTTTGGTCTTTTCACATGTGTGAAAAGATCCATGGTTCCCATCGAGGGTAATTTGGTCTTTTTTTGCACAAGGGTAATTTGGTCTTTTTTTTTGTACATAGGTAACCTTTTCTTTTCAAATGTGCAAAAAGATCCATAGTACCATCAAGGGTAATTTGGTCTTTTTTCACATAAGGGTAATTGTGTCTCATGTGTGGAAAGATCCACAGTCCCCATCAGGGGTAATTTGGTCTTCTTCACACAAGGGAGCAATTCTAGTCTTTTCACATCCGAGAAGAAATCTGTGTAATTTGGTTTTTTCGCACAAGGGTATTTGGTCTTTTTTCACACGAGGGTAAATTGGTCTTTTTACATGTGTAAAAAGATCAGTAATTCCCATCAAGGGTAATTTGGTATTTTTCACATCTGAGAAGAAATCTGTGTAATTTGGTCTTTTTTTGCACAAGGTTAAATGGGTCTTTTTCACATGTGCAGAAAGATCCGCAGTTCCCATCAAGGGTAATTTGGTCCTTTTCACACAAGGATAATTCTATTCTTTTCACATCTAAGAAAAAAAACCTATGTAATTGCTCCCTTTTTTTTTGGCACAAATGTAAATTGGACTTTTTACATGTGCAAAAAGATCAGTAATTCCCAACAAGGGTAATTAGGTCTTTTCACACAACAAGTACAAAACACTCAAAGCAAGATCCAAGAAAAACACAATTTGGAACAAGAATCACATACCACTCTCCTTGTCTTAGGTCCGGTATGACCAACAAATTCACCAACCAGATCTGTTCTTTGCACCTCTGTCACCTTATCCGTTGGTAAAATCCCAACCATAAAAAGTAACTTTCCAAGAATCCGAGCTACCATAGTTTTACCTATATACAATACAATTTGGAAATTACAAATTCGCCCCCACAATCGCAAATTACAAATAGAAGGTTGTTGATGGTATATAAGTAATTTTACCTGTTCCTGGATTGCCAAGGAAGGCCATATGAGGTGGTCTACGGGTCCCAACTTTTAAACCAAGGGCTCTTCGCCTTTCATCTAAAAGCATCCCTTTAGCCCATTTTCTAAGTTGTAATTTAAGCTCATGAAGCCCCACTAAATTTGATAATTCATTTTCAAGTTCATCCATTTTTGCTTTTGTTTGACTACATGCTTCAACAGCTCTTCGTTTTCTTTGTTCTTCAAGGTAAGATTTCAGAAGTGCTTGTAGCTTCTCGTTTCCTGGTCCTTGTGACAAATGATTCAAAGGTGTCATACCTTCCTGTAATGCCATGTCATGTCTTACAGATAAGAAAAAGTAAAAACTAAAAAGTACAGTTTTGTCTTTATGCATGTCAAACACAGTACAAGTCAGATCCAGTGTACATGTTACAAGTATAACCATTCTGTCATGTCATGTCATGTGTGTGTCCTGTCTAACAGATAAAAAAAGTTGTCAGACTGTGAGTGGTACATTATCTTTGGCACTGCAGTCAGCGTGATGTTCAAGCAATGTCTTCACAGTCGAGCTGTCCTCTGCTCTGAGTGAGTGCCAAACAGAAAGGTGCAATGGAGTCATTCCATTCTGCATATGGATGATAAAGATTAAAACTTTTTTATCAAGATTAGATTATATTAAAATTGTAATGCTCGATAAATGACAGAAATAAAGTAAATACATTTGCTTTAGCTTCGGTAGAAGCTCCATGAGAAAGAAGAAGCCCTGCAGCTTCATTGCAACCGTTTTTAGCAGCCATGTGTAATGGTGTTTCTCCATACTGTAAAGTCAAATATAGCAAGAAAATAAGTTTCCATTTTTTGAAGTGAAAATCATAAACAGAGTATATGAATAATCAAATCTAATAAAGATTTTACACACCATGTTTTTTGCTTCCAACTCAACTGTTTCAGGTCCAGCCATGTTCAAGAGAAACTTAACTACTTCAACACTGTTATGACCAGCAGCAACATGAAGGGGTGTATTTGCCATCTGCATAAAGAAAGATTCATGAATGTAAATAATCAAATTAAAAGGGTAAATGTCACCCCTTATAGAAACCTAATACATCAGAAGAACAAAATTCTGTCACAGTTCCACTCAGGCATAACATCAAACAGGTGGTGTGCAGTTGTGAACAACTTAAAATAGGTTCCTCAGTTATAGCCAATTATGTTTAATTTTCAAGATTCACGAATAAAATCACACAAAAAGTAGCTGTTTATGGGATACATATTACCAACAAAAAAATACATCAAGATAGCCTTGTATACAAAACCCCTAATCGTAATTCTGATGTAAGCTTCTCATATTTCCTTCAATAAACATAAATCTTTGAGATAGGGATTTTCTTACAACGGGGTTCCGATCATTGATGAGTGAAGGGTTGTCACGGAGACGCCTCTGGACGGCGGGAAGGTCGCCGGACTGAGCAGATGCATGAATGGTGGCTGGTTTTGTGGATCTTGAAAGCTGCTGATCTTTAACCCTCTGCATCCTTAGCAATCCCGTCGTCGTCGAAATGAAGAAGAATTGAAGGAAACCTCGCCAAATCCTTGATTAATTGGGGTTCAATCTGTTCTTCCAAGGTTGGATCTTTTCTGCTTTAATCGTCCTATTCGACTAATAAGCAGAAGACCACCAATGGAAATCAAACCTCAAATGACAAACCCTCAAGAAATCAATCAGCTCTTGGGAATTACCATTTTATTTAATTGGCATTTGACTATTTGGTAATGGAAAACTGTAACATGACGTGAATGGTGAGGAAATTAGCTGTCTCGATTATTACAGGCGTCGGTGCATGTGGGCGTCGCTAATCATTATTAGTACTTTAGCTTAATGCCAAACCAAGTTTCTATTAATAATTTCTTTTAAAAAAATGGCAAAATATTCAAAATATAATAAAATAAATAAACTTTTAACCAAATAAACAGCCAATTTTTGTAAATTATCAATCAATTTTGTATAATGCTTACTGCAAAATTGCTGTTTTGTATGTCTTCACAAAAAAAATATGTTAATGAAAAACATGTTGGGAGATTAAGTTATATAGTGTGATTTATTACTCGGGAAAAAAAATTAGGTAAAAGTGACTGTCTACAAAATAACTTAAATAAATAAAACAACTTATTAAATTTCGAATCAGCAAAACACTAAATTTAGATAAGGTGATTTGTACACAACAAAATTTCTTCATACATAACAATTTGTGTTTTATAATGTCGTATTGTACAACTTAATCAAACTTAAAATGTTAGCGTGTGGATAAAATTATTGCGTACAAATCACTTCACTTAAATTAATTTAGCAACTTATTAAATTTTAAATATGCAAATTATATTTAATCTGTAAATATTTGTTGAAAGTCATCCCCTTATCATCATGTGACTATTTTCATGATTATGTCTCTTATCTCTTATGTTTCAATAATTTGTGTCATACCATATTTTATATGGCTGAAAGCACCTCATTTTTGTTATTTATGTAACTGCAAGACAATAATACGCGAGGGTATATTATTTTTGACTCCTCATTTCTTTGCCACCTCTTCTTTAAAACTAAGAAATTGTCACGTTTTACGGTTTCTCATTTTTTTCACAACAAAGTTATTCTAATTTGCAAAATCTTTCTATACTAATAAAAAAATAATTTTATTAATATTATGTCATTGTCACTTTCATATACCTTCTAACTAAAATTTAGGTTATTTTTTATCATTTAACTTTTGATTTTGTGTTCATTTGATCACTTAATTATTTTTAAGTTTTAAAAGATCATCAAACTTTTACTTTATACTTATTTAGTCACTTAATTTTTTTTTGTCACTTAACTTTTAGATTTGTGCTCATTTAATCACGTAACTTTTAAAATTGTGCTCATTTAATCACTAAACTTTTGAAAAATTTTAAAAGTTTAGTGCTAAATGAACACAATTTTAAAAATTAGGTGACTACATATGACCAAACCAAAAATTAAGTGACTATATGAGCACAAAGCCAAAAGTTTGATGATATTTTAAAACTTAAAAAGAATTAAGTGACCAAATTAGTACGAAACTAAAAATTAAGTGACCAAAAATGACCTAAACCCTTAATTTTATAACACATGTGGGCTCTATCACTCTACAACTAATTAAATTACAACTCTATTATAAGCAACATTTAAGTTGTTTAATTTAATCTTAATTAATCTGAAATTATTCACTTGTCAGTTTTGAAATCACTCATTAAAATGAGTTCATTGATCTTTTCCTCTCAAAATGGCATCTATTTTGACAGAATATAATGGTGTAGATCTCTTGACTGATTATTATTATTTTTTTAAATGTGGTGTAATCGCAATTTCCTTGTGACCTTTTGGGAATTATTAGTTAGAATGCAATTTTGTTTTGCTATCAAATTATAATTTTTTCTTTCAAATATCACAACGAGGAAAAACCATCCCTTCAACATTCTATATATTTATTTTCCTTAAAAAGATATGTAGCATTTGTTTCCTATTGTCAATGATACATTCATATCCTTGGTGACAAATGTTCTCAAGGGTCGAAGATTAGAGGTAGACTACACGAAGTACTCTTTTTCATAAAGAAACAAGTATGATAAGTATTGAATTACAATGCAAACATGGTCACTAAGCTAATAAAAATAAAAAAAATAAAATAAATAAATAAATAAAGTTATGTATGGTCTTTTGGGGGAAAGTAATATTTAAAAAAAAAATTATTTGTGAATCTATAATTAACTAGGTGGATAACTCGGGCTTTCTCAGGATAATTTTTCTTTTTTCAGACCAAAAGAAGCAACTCTAAAAAATATTGTAAATTACTGGTACAATTATTGTAATTAGTTTTTACATACTATGAATGGCTAGTCTACAAAACTTTCTTATGAACAAACTAATTCATAAGATAAGAAAATTAACCTTAAAGATTGTTATTGAAAGCAATCTTGGATCCTTACTTGAAATTTTTTGGTAGCAAGCGCCACAAGTGTCGTGCCACTAATGGTTTACACTCAAACTCTAGCAACCAAGGAACTTGAAGAGAGAGATTAGGAGAGTGAGAATTTCGGCCTTATGCCTGTTGGAAGAGCATGAACGAAATATCAAACCCTTAGGGGTTTATATAGGAGTCTAGGAATGTATTGGATAAGACATGTATCTCCAAGATAACCCTAATCTTTTAACTTCCTCCTTACGACATCGAATGCACCCTTAGGGTTCTAGAATTGCTCATTGCTCAACTATTGAACATTGTCACCTTTAGTTCTCTTACTTTTAATTAATCCAAGTAATTCTAATTAATTTCAGATTAATTATTAATTAAATAATAATAATTCAATTAATATAGTATTCTCATAATATATTAACAAATTATTTATTTTGATTTATAATTAATTTATTAATCATATAATAAATTAATAAATCATTCTCTCTCTCTCTAAAGTTATCATATTCAATTACTAGGTTTGAGGGAAATCTAAAATGATTGTATTACTATCAGTTGTAGTTAAATTGTACTATAAATATATAAATATCATCTAAATCATCTAGCCCTAACTTAGAGCGTTACAGGTTGGAGATGCAAATATCAAAACTTAAATTGAATGAAATTTTAGTTGTAATTCAAACTTTAAACCATAATCAACAGAAAATCTAGTTATTAACGGAATGCATTTTATATTATGTTAAAACTTATGTACCACACGGATGATCAACTTTTACGCTCACTTTAAGAATGTTACAATAATTTAGGTGAGTAAAAGAATTTATAAACTTTGAGGATAAGTTAAAGTTATTATATATGTCCATTAATGACGTTATATATATTTTTTGTTAAATTTAAAAGTATATTATGCATGTAATCTTATATGTATGCTTGAGAAAAGCATATGCATTTAATAGTTCGATTGCATCTTTAAATCTTGAAACATATTTAAAGGTATTAGAACCATTAATTAATCATATATCATATGTATTCATATGAGAAACATAAGCGTGTTAAGAATCGAAAGAGTCATCAAGAATATATTGGTATAACCATACCATTATATATTGAGAAGTTTATGTATATATTAAGAAAATATGAACAATGATAATCTATGTTACATAGTTATAATCATCAATAATATTTAAAGATAACATTTCAAAAGCATTTAGTAAACATGTTTCATAATCATTATATGGGATACATAGGTAAGTAGAGTTAAGTAATATGTATACTATGAGAAATAACGAATTAAGGTACATTGGTACGAGTATACTACTATATAAATATAAAGAGAGACTTATGTTTCTTTTAAACCATTTTAATAAGACATATATAATAAGACATATATGGAATTGGGATGGCAATGTGTAGAAGCCTTAGGGTTTTTAATAAGTATTATTTTATTAATACACCATTATATATTAACAAGCTTAAATGTTGTGTTTGTGTAGAAGTCTTAATGCTTTTAATAAGTACTATTTTATTAGTATACCATTATATATTAACAAGCTTAGATGTTGTGTGCCCTCTTGAGAGCCATGTGTAGAATTAGAGTAATTAGGGGGACAACCCCCATAAGTAGCCCATAAGGCTATATGTAACACCCATAAAAATCAGGTCAATTTAAAAGTTTTTCAAACATCCAAAAGCCATTAGTTATTACAAAATGTTTTCAAAATTATCTAATATCAGAGTATCCCAAAAACCATAAGTCCAAACCACGATGATGTGTACAGTCATGCCTTCGCCTTGTCAAGCCATATGAAGCACCTGAAACAATAAATTGAAACCGTAAGCATAAAGCTTAGTGAGTTCCCCTAAAATACCCATACCCAAAACAATATACATATAATCATAACAGCATACTATGGTTCCAGTCAACCATCCGGTTGGAATGCCAACACACTACGGGTCTAATCATCCTCTAGATGGAATACCCCAGGCCCACAACCAACAAGTTGGAATGCCCACATACTACGAGTCCAATCATCATCGGGATGGAATACTCACGGCCCACAACCAACATGTTGGAATGCCCAGGTCTATTGGCTTTCGCACAAAGCAAATAAGCTTCAACCGCCAAACAAACATGTGCACATATAACAGATAATCACATAACAGTCTATAGACAACAAACTGATCTAGCGGATCATGTCACGTACAACATATTATTATCCTACCCTCTAGGATACTGATCTAACAGATCATACTCACATAACATATAATATTATCCTACCCTCTAGGATACCGAACTAATAGATCATACCACATACCCCATCATATTATCCTACCCTTTAGGATACCGATCTAACAGATCATACTAGCATATCATAACCATATAACAATCCAAAGGGCTGACCTTAGTGCCTTAGACCCTTGAGTATAGTGAGGATAACTCACCTGACACTGCTGAAGTCTTGTAGATACAATCCCACACTGTTGAAGTCTTGCAGACTCAACCCCAACTGTTGGATGACAGATTCCCGAACTATCAACACCAAAATAACATCCAATTAATAATTAGGTTCCAATACATAATCATAAGTCCATGCTTGGGGGGTAAAAGACTACTCTACCCCTAACTTGGCTTGATTCAAGCCTGAGGCCCAATCTAAAGGCCCAAAAGTCCAACTATGGCTCAAAGCCCAACATATGGCCCAATTTTCCAAATTGGGCCCAAACCTTTATATGGTCTTATCCAGAGGCCCAACCAATTAGTCTGGTCCAACATTTGACATTCTAATGGCCCAAACTATGGCCCATCTTGATGGGTTTTGGTCATAAGAACATCCTATGTGCTCATACAAACCCTAATGCTTGGATCTAGGTTTGTCTA